ACTAATCAGTTTCGACTAAACCCTCCTGTTCTCTCTTTCTCTTGTCTTCTTCCTCATCTTCTTCTTCCTTCTTCACTGGTTCGGGTTACTGTAGCTGCTCCAAAACAATCTGAATGCTTTTGAACTCGGGAATGGATCATCTTTTTTTTTTTAATATTTGTGCATATCATGCATTCTTCTGATGCTCAGCCTCTTCTTTTTTGCAATAAAACACAAATCAGTAACTTTCCCTCAAAAAGGAGGGTTAAACTGTTAAAGATGATGGTTTTTGGCGTAGCTGAAGTGGAGATTTTTTACAAGTGCTCCCTTTCAAAGGTTGGAGGTATTTTACCGAAAAAGAAGAATAACACTCACAGATACAGATTCCAGCTTAGAAGCAAGGACAAGAAACAAGGTGAGAGTCATAGACCTAATCAGTTGAAGAAATTAAAAAAACAAATCTAAAATTTCTTTGGCCCAATTCATTTATTTATTTTTTTACAGATTACATTACTCTATACCCCCTTTCCATATAATTCTTCTAATTTTGTTGCCAAATCAAGAACTTATTATATTTTATTGAACTGCACCAGAATAAATATTCCTAAATAAAATTAATCTTATCTGAATTCAAAAAACAACCCCTAAATAAAATTAATCTTATATGCACATGGAACCCACACTAGATAGACAGCTAGCCAGAAAAGGCCTGACAAAAGGGAATAAAGAAAGAGCAAGAGAGAAGAACATCAAGCAATCCTTTCAAACTTTATGGATGTTAAAGAATAAGTGAGAATAAATACCTTACGAGGTTTGGCCTTCATGACATCTGAATCTTGTTTGTTGAAACCAATGGCTGTGGCAGGCAGTCCATCAGTCACCAGATTGACCCAAAGTAGTTGCACCTGGAGAGTGTAAATGCCAGATGCTAAAATTTATAGCTTGTCCATACTAAATTCCAAGACTCCAAAGGTCAGCTTCAAAGCAACACGATAAAGGATCCAGAGCTAAGGAAGAGGCTCTTCACTTGATGCCTCAAAGGGGAAAACTAGCAATTATCATATCATCATACAACAAATATTTATGTTCCACAACATGCTCCACATACCAATAAGCATGGATCTTATGAGCTGGCCCTAAAAAAGAGGATTGAGATCTACAAGCTAGAACTATGGAATAGGCCAGCAATCTGTCTCCACCAGACATGCATACTGACCCTGCCTATACATAGACATGTAAAGGAAGCACAAAAAAGGCATTTATAACTTCTAAATAGGAACCCTTGTAATTGTTCTGCAATACTTAACAAAATTAGAAAGACATGGTACAATGAAAAAAATCATCCAATTGAAAATTAAGAGATAACTGTCATTAAGAATAATACATGAAGTAGTTATCAAATCTAAGAGCATTTCTTCATATTCATGTGGGTTCAGAGAACATGGTGTAATAAATGCATAGTACCAGAAGAACAGCTGAAAATATAAACCATTTAGTCTTTACATGAAATCTGATAAACAGCTTGGAGATGTTTCACTAAAAACATTGAATATAAAATTCTTTTCAGCAATACTTAATCAGCTGGGCATATATGATATTCATCTCCAGCTTAAAGGTCAGAAGCTAGATTTTTAGACTACATAGGTCAATTTGTATATTATTTATTAATAGTCAGTATAGATTGCCTGTAGGACAACTTATGACTAGTAACTAATCAAGTTGGAAAGAAGAAGAAAGCTTAGGACAAATGTCCTAATATCCAAAATACCACAATCAAGGCTTGGTATTTTGAAGTAATACTATGTGCAATGCAAAATAGTCATATAATTGACAAATTCCACAATCTCATCAATGATTGTTATATAGAGTGCAGGAGACTGGAACTTTGGCATTTAGAAGATGCCACCAAACATACATGGATGTATCTCTTAATTAAAGATGAAACATCATGTAGAGAGGACCAAGGAGGCCTTAATATTTTGGTCAACTTTTCACAGGGGATTAAGGAAAGAAAGGACTGTGAGGTGGATCTTTTCATAGGTCTTTTTTTGGATTTGAGGAGAACAAAGGAACTTTTGAAGAAGGGCAACCAGAGCTTGAAGACCCAAGAGTTTGGACTGATAATCTTGAAGGGGAAATTCATAGTTAACACTTACAATATGCCTATTATAGGGGTATCTGAAAATATTCTGGGTTTGGCTATTATTTGGGCTAATCCAGCCCCTCCTAGGGTGGAGGTTTTTGTCTGGATAGTAATAATCATTATGTCCAGGAATGTAAACCCGTTTACTTTTTATTGTTAAGAGGAATAGGATATATTGTCACTTGTGTGTCGCAAAGTCACCAAAAAGATTTGGCTTTCTTTCTCTTCATTTTCTTGAGAGAATTAGATAACATCAAATCAGGTGTGTTTCTTCTTCAGTCTTGGCCAATTATTCCTTCAGAGGAAAGAGGTGCAATATTATGGAGGATACCCCTTTCCAACTGTGTGTGGATGGGGGATTAGGAAAGAGATGCACCAGAGGTTCTTTAGAAGCAAATCCAGGCTAGTGCCCAGAGTTTTCAAGGAAATTAGTTGTTCCATTATGGGTTGGGCATGGATAAAAAAAGAATATAAAGACATCAACAGGGGTTCACTTTGATGTCAACGGGAAAGAGTTTACAAAACATCAATTATATCTAGTCTTTTTGTTTATTTTTCAACTCAATATGGAGAGGTCTTCTCGTCCTCCTTTCAAACCTTTATATTTACATTTATTAAAAATAACACTACCTTCACTGATCTTTTTAGAAAGGTGGTGAGCTTCTTTCCAAAGGATCATGAAGCTGACACAGCTGCAAGATTACTAAACCAATCTTTTGTTACATTCAGCTATAGTTTACTGGGAACAGGTTTTAGTTAAAGAAATTTGAACTTATAAAATAAGCAACTTGCATCAAACACATAATCAGGTACATAAGCAAAAGAATAATACCATTTAATTGGACTTACAGGGACAAGCGTTTCAGGTATGCCAAGGACAGCTGCGACAAAAATACAAACTACTTCACCAATGTTTGAAGAGATCATGTATCTGATGAACTGTTTTGTGTTATTGTATATGGCCCTTCCCTCTGCAACAGCCTGTACAGAACCATAAATGATCATGAAAGTGACTGCTATGGTGATGATTAAAGTGGAAAATACATTCTTGTTCTCCACAATTGTAATAAGTTAGGAAGCTATTAAGATTCAAAAGGTATATCCCTATTTGAAAGGTTGGAATATAAATTACCGCAACAATTGTGGCAAAATTGTCATCGGCCAATACCATATCTGAAGCACTCTGAAATTGGAAAAGAAAAATTAAGATCACCCAAAAAATAAAAACGAAGTCTAGGTTGCTTAGAACAAGGAAAATTGAAAATCTCCTAGAGTCTTCCAATTTGAGCAATCAAGGAAGTTGCTCAAAATAATTAAGAAAAATAAGAGCAAACTCTTACTCATTAAAAAAAGCATTGCTTACAATGTTTAGACAAAACTTATAGGAAAATAGAAACATGGAACTTAATTAAATCTCAACCATTCATCTAATGCAACTTGAGTAAAAGGAATGAAAATGACAAAAAATCATCTAAAACAACTAACCATAAATTCAAATAACCTAAAATTAAAGATACTGGTTGGAAACATATATTATCATATCTAAATTGATCATAACCTGCTAAAACAATGTTCAGTTTGTGTTATCTTGGACTGTTTAGCACCAATTCAAGGGATTGGTAAATGTTTTCATGCAAAAACAAAGCCCAAAAATAAAGCTACCATTGACACCTAGAATAGATTTCTTAGGTTTATGCTTCATAATTATAGCCTATTGTGAATCATGCACTCTTTTATCCAGAGAACCTTGACCCTTTTTCTGCTATTGTTGTGATTCACCCAGTCTTTTTTCTTCCATATATTGGCCCATTTCCATCATTCTGATGGGAAACTAAAAAAAATATGTTATTAAAAGGATAAGTGAGAAAAATAAAAGTATAGCACTTCAGTACTACTACTTCCAGAAAACAGTGGCACTAGGCAGTACCTTTGCAACAGCTGTCCCTGAACCCATGGCAATTCCTATATCTGCTTTCTTTAGTGCAGGTGCATCATTAACACCATCGCCAGTCATTGCAACCTTATTATTGTTCACCGCGGTAAGCATGTATTGCAGCCATGTTCATACATACATAGAAACAAAAGATAAGTCTTGAAGTAAACAACATCAAAAGAAAAATATATGAAGTAGGTTGCCTATATCTACATGATTTAGGGTAGCAAATACAAAGAAAAAAATCAATATGCTATCAAAGTTTCAGCTGCTAAACTGAACATGGAAGAAATTGACAAAATAGGTTTGATCAATGCACTGAGAAAATAGGTTTGACCAATGCACTGAGAAAATGTGATGATATGACCAAAAAGAATTTTCAGTTAAATCAATTTATAAACAGAATATTCAATGTTATAATTTACAAGGCTAATATATCTGGATGATAGCAGAGTTGTAGTTCTTATTCCTGATTCACATATCATTCCAACTACTGGAGAGGTTTCTTTATCAGCTCTAACAACAGGAGAGGTTGTCCTAATCACTGAAAAATATAGACTTACAACTTCATTTTGGTGCTGCAGAGCTTCAACCAGCATCCTCTTATGAGATGGTTCTACCCTAACAATTAGGCAAAAGATTAAAACTACAGAATCTTGTGAAGAGCCTTTGAAAGTAACATGGTATAACATTAACGAAAAGATCCATAGAAATGTACTAAAGCATCTTCTAAAGAATTAAATACACCAGGGATAATTTGAAGAAAAATGTCGTTCAAAATACCTGGTGAAGAGGACCATACGTTGCAATGCAAGTGTTCGTTGCAGGGCTGGAAGTTCTTCAAATTCAGAAGCAGTATAAGACCGTCCAACAAATTCTTCCAAGTCATCAAAAGCACCAATTTTATGGCAGAGAGATTCGGCTGTCGACTGAATGTGTATAACAAGTTAGAAAGACAATGCAATACTGGTAAGAATAAATCATGGAAACATGAAGTAAGAGTTCCATTTACCTTGTTATCCCCTGTGACAACTATGACACGTATGCCAGCAGATATACAAGACAACATAGCATTTCTTACTTCCTCCCTTGGTGGATCAAGCATCCCAACCTTAAGACATAACACAGAATAACTTCAATCTAAGCAAATTATAAATGTAAATAAAAAGAAATGCAAGCAAGTTGAGTAGCAGCCCAATTGAAACTGAGTATCAAACTTGAAGCATGATAATGTGTTCTGGATCAAGACAAGAAAAGAAGACTGCAGTGCCCAGCCCAGGTAGTATGCACAGAATAGAAGAGGAATTCAAGAAAAATGAAGAATTGAATATCTTTGATTCGAGATCAAACAAACTAACAAGTGACCGTCAACACTAATCTAGAAAGATGAAATTTCTTCAATTCATAAAATGTGTTTTCATTATTTTATGCCACACAAGTATATAAAATAAATGTAACTATATTATTACGAATAATAAATAACTCTAGTGCGCCTCAATCTGGTTTAGGTTGTCAACAAGTCAGGACTAGGTAGAACTAGTGTTGAACCAATTATTTAATTGGGATCAAATCATAGACCCGATTATATTGAAAACAATAGTTAAAATAATACTAATTTATTTTTATGTTAATAAGTTAAACATTTTAACTAATATTATCTTATTTATTATTTATCAAATTTACTATTTTAAACATGAAACATGATAAAAATTACAAGAAAGATAAAAAATAATATATTTCATAAAATATTTGGTTCCGGAACCATTATAATCAAGACAAAATCATGGAACCAAAACCGTTATTATGTTCAGTCAACTTAGCTCCATCAAAATAGACCCAACCCATTAGTTCAGCCCTATTTTTTCTTAAATAAATTAATGTTTATATAATAATTTATTAAATTGAATAAAATAAATAAATAAATAAAAGTTTATTTGGATGGGATTGGTATAGGCTATCTCAAATCAGACCCGACCCGTTGGCAGCCCTAAATATTGGGCTCAAGGGGAGAGAATAATTTGTTAGTAAATTATTTCTAAATAAATAAATAATTTAGTAAATAAATTTTTATTAAAATATCTCTCTCAATGTCACATCTCCTTTATTTTACTGATTTATTTTATTAAAATAAATAATTTATTTAATTTTATTACATAAATAAATGTTTAGATAATAATAATAAAATAAATAAATGAATAAATAAAATTTGAGAAAGAGAACAAGAGGAGAGGGAATCGAGAAAGAAGATGGATGGCATAATTGTAAATAGTTGTATGTGGCACTCCTGTAATTTTTGAACACCATAGAGTCAATAAGGAGGTTTGTCCTATATGTGGCACTCCTGTAATTTTTGAATATCATAGAGGCAATTACATGGCAAGGTAAAGGTGTATTTGTCTTATATGTAGCATTTCTGTAATTTTCAAATATTATAGAGTCAATTATATAGGGAGGGAGGTTTGTCTTATATATATGGCATTCTTGTAATTTAGAATGCCAGACTAAAGAGAGGTGGGAGAGGAGTAAAGGAGAGAAGGGAAGGAGAAACGCATGTCAATAATTTAAAGCATGCCTGTCAAGCCAAAAGCAAATCACGTGTCAACCTCCGCCATACACCTTCCCAATGCTTTAAGTAAATACTTATGGATCTATCTCAAGTAAATAAATTCAACAAAGGGCACAAAGGTATTATTAATAGCCCCTTCTCTTGACTCTCTCCAAATTAGAGTTTTGTTTTTGAGTTATGGGCTGTGGGAAACAAAAATGAGCCAAAAATGGTTTTGTGCTTTTGGTAAGTGTTTCTTTTAAAAATATAACAATATATAGTCAAAACACATTTAAGCCCCAAAGCACATGTGCTTTCAGGCTTTGAAAGCAAAAACCTGAGGCTCAGCCAAACACAACCTAAATTATGAGCATTTTGGAGTTGAGCATACCCATGGACACAATGAGAAAAACTATATGGCCAGACAAAGGTACCAACAACTGTTCGTGAAATGTTAGTCAATTATACTCATGATAGTACCTTTCTTGAGCCTCTACCCTGCCTCTTCCCCTGGATGAAACACTTTTATCACATCACCTTTATTATACTTGAGAAGATGGACTGGAATCCCAAATTCAGTATAGTATTCTTCCATTGCAAATAGCATCATTGCATGATACAACTTTGTTATTGCTTTGCCCAGTTCCTATGCAACAGGAGCCACCACCATGCTAAATTTAGTGGGAAAAGAGGTGGAACAAAACCCACTAGATTCAGACATCCATACCAGACTATTTCAACCAAGCTTTTCTTGCTTTTATTAATAACAAAGAAATTTCAATAGAAAATATATACAAGGAGCACAAGATAAACTCCAATACAGTGCAGATCTCAACAAAAAAGATATAAAACAACATGGACACATCAATTAATGACTCACAATCTCGTCCTACTATCAGATTGAAGTTGAGATTTTTGTACAAATGCCAATCCATGACAACAGAGCCAATATCCTTGCAGATTCCATGAAGCAGTGTTTAAGATGCCTTCCCAAAATTCTTGCATTGTGTTCTCCTTCCATAACACCTAAAAAACTGCAAAAATGTCATCCATATAATTCAGCCTTCACCTCAATGGGAGAGAAGGCCAAGATTGCTTCAACTCATGTATTGCTCCAAAATCCTCAAAGCATTTCTTATTGTTTTACATCACATATATAAATGACTTGCATCCTTTCAAGAAAATTTTTTTTCCACCATAAACACACCAGGCCCCCTATACCCAGTGTTTTAAAAGGCATGGGAGGCATACGCTTGGAGGCACTCCCAAAACACCTTGAGGTGTATGCCAGAGGCGCTGATACCTCTGAGGTGTACGCCTCTTGCACTTTTTTCATGAGGCATGCTAGAGGCGTACGCCTCATGCACATCTGATATAAAAGAACAGAAGAAAAAAACAGAAAAGACAAAAAAAAAAGAAAAGAGAAAAAAAAAAGGAAAGGAAAGGAAAGGAAAGGAAAGGAAAAGAAAGGGAAGGGAAAGAAAAAGAAAGAGAAGAGAAAAAGAGATCCCCCCTTCCTCTTCATCCTCCTCCTAACCCCCCTCCTCTTAAGGAGGCTTACGCCTCCTTGTGTTCGGGAGGCTTACGCCTCTTGTGTTCTGAACTACACCTCACGCCTCTAGGTAGTGGAACGCCTTGTCTCACGCCTCCACGTTTTAAGACATTGCCTATACCTAAAACTGCAAACAGCCTTGCTAATATGCTAGCCAGTGTGTGCGCGTTGGGGGGGGGGGGATTTGTACCAAAATCATTTCATCTATAACATAACATTGGTCAGCACTAAGCTGTTTGTACTCCATTACAATTTGATTCTTCATGAAATTGTAGGGTTTTTCCCCAAGATGAATGAATGCATTTCTTGTTACAGATAAAATCCAAGGCATATTTAGTCTTCATGACATTGGCCATCCTTCTAAAGCATATTTAGTCTTCACAATATCGCTGTGCATATGATAAATCCAAGGCTCTGAGAAGAATCATGCAATCATCAATATACCTTTATAACAATTGTCTTCTGAATGTTAAGTTTCAAAGTGTCTCTAATCTCATAGCTTTATCACTTTTTGTTCACTTCTTTTCTGTGCATATATGTAAAGACAAGGGTATGCAAATTTCACACCAAGCATCCTCCAAAATCCTTATATGCTATCCAACCTCCACTTTGAAATCAAATTCTAAGATTAACCCATTTTGATCAATCATGATCCTTCTTTGAATACACACAATATATGTAGATATTACCTGGTGAGAATGTCATTCAAAATCATCAACTCCATATTTTTCCCAGCACCACCCTCCTCCATTGGGGGTGGGGGAGGGGGGATGGTGGTATATTTTCCATATAACATAACACTTCCATCTTTGTACTTTCTTGCTAATAAAATACTTACAAAAATCAACCATGATCACTTGATAAGCAGGAGCTTGTAATTTTCATGCAATAACTATGATTTTAGAAATAGGCCAATCACCTACTATAGAGAGCCACAGACCAAAAGCTACTTGACATCTTTCTCAAACTTCAAATCCAGAAATTGGTGTAGCTCTTAACCACAAAATTCAAAGAAATTTTTGCATTAGTCATTTTTCTGACTAGGATCACAAAGACATCACATTACATAAAGTAATAATACAATGAGCCCTCAGAAAGCAGGAACCATGGTAGGGAGAAGAAAACAATGACATCTTAATGTAAACAGATGCCTAAGAATCAAATTACAATCTCCAAGAAAACATACACACCAATCCAATGAAAGTAAGGTCCTTCTCATCCTCAAAGGAGAGAGACTGCTGTCCCGAGGGCATCCTTTTCGAGGCCAAAGCCAAACATCTTAGAGTTTCTTTTCCTGCAAAACTGACCAAATCAACAACATAAAATTAGTATGAGACAACTTTTATCTTGATAACAGAAACATATTTATTTAACATTAAGAGAATGATCAAACAAGGGAAATTAGGATGTGGAACTCTCTATGTGTTTGTCTTTCTCCTAGTTGCATCACTTCAAGTAGCTAATCTGTTGTTGGATGTCTTACATTCCAAATCCTAGTAGGTTGGGGTTGCTTTTTGTGATCAGATATCAATTGTATTCTTATTGCTTCTTTAGTGGAAACTTTGCTACCTAAGATCCTACCAAATAGAATGCTAACCTCTGAAACCTAGACTCCAATGCAGCTCGAACATCTACCGTTAGGGGAACAGTGGAACCATCATCATTGCATAGGACATTGGTGCATCTAGAAATTATACTTTCAGGAGCACCCTTCGAAAACATAATCTCCAACTGCTTTCGGCTGCAAAGGACACTCATCATTTTGCGGTCTCGAGAAAATTCTAAAACAGCTACCTGCAAAAGCATGAATTTTGGGATTTAGAAAACTCAGAGAACAGCATAACGTAACAGAGACAAGCTATGTAAAACCATGCTGAACACGCACCAATGCATAAACTATGAAAAATATGAGACCTCATTTTTCTTGTTTGTGATCATAATATATGTGTACACATTCAATAGAATAAGTTATACACAGATAAATATATGTTTATGTGCACATTGAAGAAGTACAATAAGAAAGATTACTCGATTAATGATGACTATGAACATCAGGTAACTATAACAAAGTAAATGCCATAGAAAAGAAAATGGCACTACTAAACAGAGAAGAGAGCGGCTGAAGAGAGAAGAGAAGAGAGAAGAGAGTTGAGAGCCAAAAGATTGAGCTGGAAGCGCCAGCTCTCATATTTATATTAGGGTGATCATAAAATAATCAGAAAATTACAATGGTACCCCTGCGGTACTAATACTGACATAAACAGCCTTTTAACACTCCCCGTCAAGTTGGGACATAGATGTCAATCATTCCGAACTTGTCACATAAGTCATTATGCCACGAGTGATGTGACCCCTCTGTGAATATGTCTGCAAGTTGCTTTTCAGATCTGATATAGGGTGTACACACTTCCCCTTTGACAACCTTTTCCCTGATAAAATGTTTGTCAACTTCTATGTGCTTGGTTCTATCATGCAGAACTGGGTTGGCAGCAATACTAATAGCAGCTTTGTTATCACAATATAAAGTCATAGGTTTATCAACAGTAAATCCCAGCTCACTCAACAAACTTTCCAACCACATAATTTCAGCCACTCCATGAGACATTGCTCTATATTCTGCTTCAGCACTAGACCGAGCCACCAAATTTTGTTTTTCTCCTCCATGTGACTAGATTACCCCCCACGAAGGTACAATAGCCACTAGTAGATTTCCTGTCATCTAGCGATCCAGCCCAATCAACATCTGTATGCACCTCAACCTTCAAATGTCCATGCCTTTGAAACAGCAGATCGACAACTGAAAATTTTTTAAGATATCTGAGAACTCTTTTAGCTGCTTCAAGATAGGTGGTCTTAGGGGCATGCACGAATTGACTTAAAACACCCACAACGTAAGCAATGTCTGGTCGGATTATAGACAAAATATAGCAATCTTCCTACAAGCCTCTGAAACTACTTCACATCATTGACAACCTCACCCTAACAATCACCTAATTTGTGGTTTGGATCAATAGGGGAACTTCAATCCCCTTCTGTGAGCGGGCAACTTCAATTCCAAGAAAATATCTTAGAGGACCTAGATCTTTCACCTCAAACTGAGTAGCCAGGAACTCTTTTAACTTACAAATTTCATTTTTCCAGTCACAAACAATGTATGGTCAAATTGGCACTGTTTATAGCCTCTCTTCTGTACAGCTACATGAAATCTGTTGAACTAGGCGTTTGGTGATTGTTTTAAGCCATATAATGACTTCTTCAACCTGCACACCTTTTGTTCATTGCCTTGAGCCCGAAAACTAGGAGGTAGCACCACGTATACCTCTTCTCCAAGGTCACCATTTAGGAAAGCATTCTTGATATCAAGTTGATGAAGATCCCAGTCAAAATTAATAGCCAAAGAGAAAAGGACTCTGATAGAGTTCATCTTAGCAACCGGTGCAAAAGTTTCTACATTATCTACTCCATACACTTGAGTAAATCCTTTTGCCACTAATCGAGCTTTATACTGTTCCACAGTGCCATCAGCCTTATGTTTTACTATAAACACCCACTTACATCTAACTGGTTCCTTTCCTTTAGGAAGATCCACCAATTCCCACGTACCATTTTTATGTAATGCATTAATTTCCTCTTTCATTGCATCTGTCCATTCAGGGGCTGAGAGAGCTTCTCCTACATTCTTAGGAAGGCATGAAACGAGGGTGAAATGTTTTCATAAGAAACACAATGGGATACGAGATGCTTAGTGGTGCAAGACCTAACTCCCTTCCTTTGAACAATAGGAAGGTCTAGGTCATTAGCAATAGAGGTATCAATAGTAATAGGATCGGATACATCAATAGGAACAATTGTACTTGGTTGGGTATGACCCACCCCCGCGGAATCCGATGGCATTGGTTGTACAGCTTCCGGATGCTCAACAACTCTTGAACTTGGCTGAACCTGTTTGTAGCAATGAAAGAATCAAAGAAAACACGGAAAGGAGGAGGGTCAAGAAGAGGAGGGAGCTAAACCTGTTTCTCTTTGCTCCTACTCTCTCCCTGAGGAGAAACAAGGAAGAAAGGCTCATTTTCAAAGAAGAACATCCATAGAAACATAGTATTTCCAATTGACAGGATCAAAGCATCGGTACCCCTTTTGAGATGTGGGGTATCCTACAAAATATAGGGAATAGCACGAGGATCTAGTTTACCACGAGTTGGAGACAGGTTTTGAACAAAACAGTGGCAACCAAAAACATGAATAGGAATGGAGAACAAGGGAGCCTTGGGAAATAGAAGTTGATGTGGGGCCTTGCACTTTAACCTTCGAGATGGCATGCAGTTGATGAGATATGCAGCACACATGACAACTTCAAGCCAAAATTGTTTTGGGACATTCATATGAATCAATAATCCCCAAACCACTTCAAGGAGGTGGCGGTTCTTCATTTCCACTACACCATTTTGTTGGGGGTGGCAAATGAGCTATGATGAAGTGATCCACACGAAGCAAAGAAATCTGTGAGGTCATGATGAAAATATTCTTTGGCATTATCGGATTAGAAGATTCGGATTTCCATTTGAAATTGGGTGAAGATCATCCGTTGGAAATCTTTTATAATTTTTGGCAATTCATCTCTGGTTCGCATGGGATACGCCCATGTGTATCTAAAGTAGTCATCAATAAGTGTAACAAAATACTTGTAAATAGTCTCAAAGGGTAAAGTAATTGGGCCCCAAACATCAAAATGGACAATATGGAAAGGAAAATCATATTTATTATTTTTTGAAGGAAAATGAGTTCTACAATGTTTACTCAATTGACAAGTTTGACATATAAACTTTGACATTGACATTGACTTAAACAACTCTGGAAATAAAAATTTTAAGACAAATGACCAAGACGATTGTGCCATAAATAGGCTTGACTCTTACTAGATTGACTCTTAGAGTCAGCCTTATTCTCAAGCATGTAGAGCCCATCCACTATACTTCCTCTACCAATCATCTTCCCCAAGGACAAATCCAGAATTACACAAGAAGACAAAAAAAAGATTACTGAACAGTTTAATGAGTTAGTAATACTACTAACTAAAAACAAGTTTATAGGTAATTTTGGAACATGCAAAATATTAGAAAGATTGAGGCCAACGGGAAGGGATATGGTTCCTTGACCAGCATGGTGTAGAATGAGCCATCGGCTAGTCTCACTTTATCCCTCTCAGAGAGGAGATTATAGGACTAAAAATAACTTACCAGTCATATGGTTTGATGCTCCAGAATCAATCATCCAAGGAGAGTCAGGGGAATGAAAAGACACATGGAAAGTTGTGGCAGAGTTACCTGATGTAGATGCAAATGATGTAGAAGGAGAAGGGGCAGAATCCATCTGACGAATTACCCTATCATACAACTCCAAATGGTCACGGAAGGAATTAATGATGTCCTCTCGAGGATCAGAACTAGAGGGGTGCGTCGGAGTCATAGTAGTGGAGGACTGAGTCTCTTGAGAGGCCATGTTTGCTGCGTTGAACTTTCTTGGACCTTGCTGTCCTTGCTTCTTATTCTGATTTGAACTCTGTTTCTTGCTCAACTCCTAAGCCCACTTCGGCTTCCCATGAAGTTCCCAACAAGTGTCACGTGTGTGCCCAGGCTTCTGGTAGTGAGTACACCATAGTTTCTCCTTATCGTCCACCCTTTTCTGAGAGGCCCCCTTCTTAAAGGAATTTCCCCCACCTGAAACAACATTCCCTCTACTGCCAAAGCAACAAAATCCCCTTCTACTTTCCTCTTACTGTACTAGGGCATATACTTCTTGGACAGATGACAGATGGGAGATCCTTGCTTCCTAGGACTTGCACTAGAAGTCATCCCCAATCCCCTTCAGAACTCTCTGCTATGAAACAAGTAACTTGTAAGCTTCTGTATCTTCATCACACTTCCAGTTCACATGCTGGTGGTAATGGTCCAACTCCTTCTAGAAGGAAGTCAAGTCCGAGTAGTACACAGAAAAGCTTCTCTCCCCTTGTTTACAAGTAGATGACTTTGCTTGTAACTGGTAAATTTTTGCATAGTGACGCAATTCAGAATATGTTGACTTTGCTTGTTCCCAAATCTCATAAAACATTTCAGCCCACATAAAATGTCTTCTCACCTGAGGTTGCATAGACACTAAGAGCCATGACATTACCATGTTGTTTTCCTAGTTCCACCCGTCATCTTCTACACTCCCGGAATTGGGTTCTTTAATTTTGCCATTTGTGTACCCTAGTTTTCCTCTTGCAGTAATGTACAGTATGATCCCCTTTGGCTATTCTAGATAATTTAGTCCATCCAGAGGTATAACAGCCATAGGGAAGGATAAATCTATACCCCCACTCATCCCATTCTGCATTGAGGAAATACCAGATGTGGCAGAGTCCTCAATACTCATAATAGCTGTTTCAGATCACTCCAAAAACAACTACAAGACTAAAGGGCAGTACAGTCCACACAATCTTCTCTTCCTCACAATGTACTACTGCTGGGAATAATAAGACTGAACCAAGAAACTATGAAACTCCAAAAATTTTGGACCCAACGAAGCCCTACACACATTCAGATATTATCTTACTACTGTTGCAGCACATACAGGTCATCATTGACCTACAAACATATCACAAGGATCAGACGATGCACACAGGAAACAACAGGTGCTGATAACCTCACATCAGTCGAACTTGTTACAGGTTCTGTCTTGTTACACGACCAAGAGGTAAAGGAAAAAAAAAAAGAAAAATGACTTCTTAGATCAGTCCGATGCTGTTCTCTGGG